TGGTATTTCAGTATTTTAAAGTATTAATGGTATTCTTCAATTAGTACCCCTCAGTAGTGTGTAGGTAATGCGCCTAAACACCTAGTGGCAGTGGCATAAAATAAAGTTCTAACGATTGCCGTAGGTATATGTTTATTCCACTAAATGGAAATCTAAGAATTTTTTATAAACTAACTACTAATAATATAGTAATAAATCGACTTTCTATTATTACAAAACTCGTTGTGAAAGCTCAGATTCAAACCTACTTCTGAGATTACCTGAGTCACCGTGTTTCATGGTTGTGTAATCTAAGTTTTGTACTACTACATTTTACTCCCAGAATATTATGTTTTTGCTAATTTTAAAATACTAAACAGAAACTTTAATATAATTTGGATTTTTTCCAGTACCTTACCTCCGCACTAGATACCATTAGTATTTCAACATACTGAAATAATATATGTCGGCGTGTAGTCAGAAGGGCCTATTACGAAGCCCAAATAGATCGTCCATATCGGACGACTATCTTTAAAATAACACTGCAGGCGTGTATAACAACGTGGATTTGTTCCATTTTATCACTTTTCATACGAAAATATAACGAGATGAGCGTGATGTCGTCGGATGTCTTTACTCCTCGGCGATCGGAAACAGAATGTGTGCCAAAATGGTGGCAAATTACTTTTTGTATCACCATTCTAATAAAATTAAAAGTATCGATGATCACGCTCTCTCTATAATCGAGTAATTAAGTAATCAAGTTAATAACAATTAAAATAAAAGAAACTAAATCAAACGATCTTCGTAAGGATGATGCGACATATATAAATCTGTAGAAAGCATTTCTATATTTTTGTCACGGTCTCTTAGACTAGCAGAACTGTTACTGCGTGTTTCAATTAAATAAAACCTTTCGTAACTTTTGGAGAATATTTTATTTAATTGAACCTCTATGCTGTTACAGCACTGTGCTTGCCCTTGAGTTCTTGCTGTTTTTATAATATAATAATACTATTTTTGTGTGAGCTTGTAATAACACATCTTTCATTTGTGTAATTGACTGTCGCATCGTGATTTTTAATGGGACGAATTTTATTCGTATGGATTTTATTTCACAATGACGTAACCTTGTCCGCACTGCGATTAAAATTCCGCGCGATTTTTGTCAGAATTATGTAGCTCCCGGTCGAGAAGAACGTTTAAAAAACAGACCAAGTGCGGGTCGCAAAAAAATCACGTTTGTCGTATGGGAGAAACTTAGATATTTATTTTATCCTAGTTTTTAGTATTTGTAAAAATTTCATCTGTCTAATTTTCACGGTTCATGAGATACAGCCTGGTGACAGACAGATAGACAAACAGCGAAGTCTTAGTAATAGGATTTCTGTTTTACCCTTTTGTGTATGGGACCCTATAAATGAACTACATAATAATTTTACATATTTCTAAAATTAGTATATTTCTTCCAAAAACTTCGTTTTCAATTGCCTATCATGATAGTTTGCCTAAAATTTATTTCATACGGGGAGGCCCATTTTGAATTCACATTATATAGGTACATTTCAATATCTTCGTCAATTTCGATGGCCGCCGAGTAAACGGGAGACGACCCGCATGATATCTTTCCACCGCTAGTGCTGATGCACGACTAAAAATCGGTAGTTTATTAAACGCGAGTTTTTAGCCGCGCGTTATTCCAGTGAGTTACAGAATTGCGATACTAAATTCGTGCGAATTAAAATCGCGATGCGGACAATGCCTAACAGTGACGATTCAGTCGTCGTCCGAGTAACACGTGTTTTTGTCGCTTTGCATGGGTACAGTCGTTATCGAAAATGTCTTGTTTTTACAGAGAAAAAATGTTGATATGGTATCGGATTACATAATTAACTTTGGATGAGAGCAGCATATCTTAAAATCATAATTTGATTTTTCCAGTAGCGATTCTGAGTAATTAGTTCAACAAACATGTATTGACCAAATTAAGCTATTTTTAAGCAAGCATCTTGTAAATCATAGAGGATAACTATCTGCAACTTTGTTTTAAAACAAAATAATCTACACTAATTTACACTACTTAATTTACAATAGTAAAGCTCGTCACAGTTAAGTCTCTCTTTGGTTTTAGTTGATATTATTCTATTTGTATTTGACTGTACCTCTCGAAACGCGCGTTGTCACTGATCAGTCTGTACCCTTAGTATAAGTTTTTACGTTAAACAAACTTAACTATTGCGTTTGCGTATTTAAGCCAATTTATATGAAAACAAAAAAAGCGCCCCTGGCGGGTAGTAGCAGAGATAAAAATAGCGAGTGCATTACCGAGCGTTAACTATCATCGATTCGACTATTCTAAACGCATTATATCGATTCTAATATCTATATATCATATATCATCGATATATCATCGATATATCATCGATATCTATATATCATATATAATCGCATATATCATCGATTCTAAACGCATCGAACGCGTTTTCACTTCGAAATGCGTATTTCGAGTGAATTTGACGTTTCTACGAGTGTAAGCGGCTAATTTGACATTTTTATTAGTTTTGAAACTCATACGCAGTAGTTTAGTAACTCACTTCATAATTAGGTAGTGAGACGCGATAACTATTTGATTTTTGAATAAAAAAATATGGGCCTGCAAGAAATTATTTTGCATGGAAATTAATAATGAGTGCTTATGCCCAAGACCAAAGAAATTACCTTCGGTGGCAACGCACCGCATTACGATCAACATTTAATGCAGTACGAGATTTAAGTGATATTGAATTTAAAAATAGATATCGTATTACAAAAGCAGCATTTTTATTTCTATGTGATGAGTTGGAAAGGGTGCCTTTGAAAAAAACTCAGCAAATAAGTGTACAAGAAAAGGTAAAATCTTTATTTTTATTAGGTACCCTTTTTGTTACTTAATTTTTTATTTTATTTAACGTTATGAAACGATTTATTTTTGGTTTTATTTTAGGTTCTTACTGCACTATTTTTTTTTGCCAATGGTTCGTATCGGCGCCCCATAGGGGTAGCAAAGTTTCTTTCACAAAAAATGACCGGCGTCTACATCAATGAAGTTACTGAAGCATTAATTCACCCGGAAATACTTCATAAATATATAAGCTTTCCTACCACACAGGCTGCTAGGCAAGTCATTAGTCACAAGTAAGTTATTATTGTCCTCTCAGTGCTTTTATTATTAAGAGGAAATGAAGGAGTTTATCATTATTTAAATTTGATAAAATTTTTAGATTTTACACAAAGTATGGTATACCAGGTGTAGTGGGCTGCATTGATGGCAGTCATTTCAAAATATTTGTACCACCCAGATCAGAAGAGCACATATATTACTGTCGAAAACACTATCATTCTTTAAATGTGCAAATGGTATATACATATTATTAACATTAAAATACCTCTAATTTAGTACCTTTTAGGAGTAAATTCAACAATTTTTTTAAATTTCTAGGTCTGTGACAGTGATTGCAGAATTATAAATGTTTGTCCCAAATTTGGAGGTCAAAACCATAATGCATTTGTTTGGGAAAACAGTAGTATAAATGCATACATGCAAAATTTGCACCAACAGGGTGAAATTTGTTGGCTTCTTGGTAAGTTTTTGTACTAAGAATTAAATTAATAATTTATTCTAATAATCTGAAATAATTTATACAAAATCCTATGTTCCTCTTAGGAGATTCTGAATATCCACAAAGACCATGGCTTATGACTCCAATTTTAGAAGTTCAACCAGACTCCCCAGAAGCCAACTATAATCAGAAACATAAAGTTGCAAGAGTGCTCATTGAAAATACTTTTGGTCGCCTAAAAAATAAGTGGCGTTGCTTATCAAAAGATAGAGTACTTCATTACAAACCAATAAAATGCTCCAAAATTGTGCTGGCTTGTTGCGTGCTTTACAACCTAGCTTTGGATTTTAGTGGTTCAGAAGTGGACTATGATGGTAAGTGTGTCTAATTAATATTATTAAAATATTAAGGTAGATATTTCAATTAAATAAATATCCATTATTCACCTTATATATTTATTTTCAGGTGAAGACATATTCTTGGAAGGCACTGAGCTTTCACCGGTCTACAGAGAGCAAAATTCCAATGATTTGGTTAGAGGGAGGATCATAAGAGACCAATTAGTGCAAAGAATCAATAATTGAAAACCTTTTTTTTGTTATTTTATATTAAAACTATGATTAAAGATTTCCAACAAAATCTTTTTTGTAACAAAATAATGATAACATAAAAATCAATATCCTACTAATATTAAATATGTGAATGTTTATTTGTTTGGATGTTTATCCGTCAATCACGCCGAAACTACTGAACGGATTTTTATGATATTTAGTATACAGATAGGGTATTAGCTGACTTAAAGAATAGGATAGTTTTATCATATTAAACAGTTTCCTATGGACCTACAGGCGAAGCCACTGGCGGAAAGCTAGTTAAGAAAATAATAATCTAAGATACATACTCTACACTGATATTTGAATATTTGTCTGCGTTTAATAATTTCTGAAACTATCCGATTATAAAAATTCTTTCCACTAAATAAAGTTACAATATACATTTACAGAGGTGAAATAACAGGAAACCAGCTAGTATTAATTAAAATCTATAACATCATGCCGGATCCATAGCAGAGTAGGAAGAGGGAATGAGAATCCTTATATGAGTCATAAACAAATTTAATAATGGTTTTCATAAGTATGATCATAAGCAACACTGAATTATTACAACATTTTTGTATCTAATCCTAATTATAACACCTTATAACAAAACACCTAAATAACAAATATAATTAAAAAAAAAACTATTCAATACTGAAATAACACAACATTTTTCTATATATTTAACAATAACATCTTACCTATATTACTTAACAAATATAATACAAAAAAAAAACTATTCTAAGCAAAATAAACGATTGGTGACATCCATAATCAACAAAATTAACAAAATATAATAAAAAGAAACTATAAACAAAATAATTATTCATTTTTTTTGATTGATGAACTTGTCCAATATATCAATAGCATGAAATGCAACATCTTGCCACCTTTGCTGTGATTGTATTTCTAGCTGCTGTACATGCAGCTTCTCTCTTTCTAATTGTAATTCATCCTCATGCTTTTTTATGAGGAAATTCCTCCACATTTCGTCTGACTGCATAAACTGCTGTGACACCTGCTCTAAGTGGGACTGAGGACCAGCAATCCGTCTTCGAGTCGCGTCGCGACGTCTCATTGGAGATATCCGACGGCGGCGAGGAGTTTGGCCACGGGGAGCAGGTTGATCCTGAGCAGTAGTATTTGGTAGATTTTGTGTTTGTGGAGTGGGCACTGGTGGTGATAATGGTATTGGTAGTAGTGGTGGTGGCGTCACAGGTGGTGGTATATGGGGTTGGTGTGAAGATCCAGGACGCATCCAATCTGCAAAAAAATATTAAGGACAAAATGTAGTAAGATTATACTAAGAATTTACCTATAGGTACATTAAAGTAAGAAGTCAAAGTCAAAATAAGCTTTATTCAAATAGACTTCTTAAAAGTACTTTTGAATTGTCCAAAATTTTTTTGCCTACCGCTTGTTCAGGACGTCTTTTGGCTGATAAGAAGAACGAGCAAGAAACTAATAGGAGTAATGACATTTACAAAAACCATGTGATTACCAGAACAATACATTATAAATAGAGAGAAAAAAAGCTATGCTTTTATAGCATAATATTATTAAATGATAGCATAGTCATTTAATAATAATGGAAGAAAATATAGAATAAACACAATAATTATATTTACCTGTTATATTTTCACTGTCTATTTGTGGGACAGTTATGATTATTGAGGGGCTGTCCTCATTTTCATTGAGTGATGGCGGTATGGTTGCAGTTTTATCACTATCAATATCCTAAAAGTAATTTATGAATAGTGAGAATATTTACACAATTTGTTTTATTTATCTCTCATTAAAACAATTTTATACATACAATTGGTAATCCTGCTTCAACAACTGGCAGGCCAGTTGCTGACTGGGGCCCTATTATGTTCAGCACCCGCTCTTCTAACTCGGTCAGTCGGATCTGCAATGCAGGTCCACCACCTGTACCGTAAGCAGCCTTGTGTATTTTCGCTGCTTTCTTTTTAATATTGTTTTTAAGGTCACTCCAAACCTAGAAGAAAAAAGGTGTTTTTGTTAAGTTCAAGAATATTTTATTTTAATTACCTACAGATATATTATTTGTATTTCTTTAATATTATAAAGGCGCAAGTTACAATATTTGTTTTGATGCATTTGAATTGAATGTAATTTGATAGTTATAGACTAAATTATATACCTTTTTCCACTTTTCAGTAGTTTTTGTCTCTCCCGTCGCGTCACTGTTAAGGAAATTTGTCAGATTCTCCCACTCTTTAATAGCTTTCATTCTGCCCTGGGCAGTTTTAGTGGGCTTATTAATATCTCCATGCCTAGAGAAAGAGAAATGACATTATTACAAAAAAATCTAAACACAATACGTTGTCGATTTGAGTTAAAAGTACATAATCAATTAATAATAAAAAAACATCACAAAACTTTGTTATACTTACGTTTCCATGAAACTCACTATCATTTCAAACTGTGTGGCACTGGTTTTCATTTTCAAAATCTAAATCTAAATAAGTAACTAAGAAAGAAAAGCGTTATGAACATAAATGTTTAAAATCTGAATTTCAGCTGCAGCATTGGTCCACAACTAACAAAAAAATGCTTTTGACAATTCTTTTCTTTCTTTTACTCGTTAGACTAAAAATGAAACAGCAATATATTATACGGCAAGAAGTATTAATTAAATAAACAAAAAGGTCACTTTATGTGGGGCAGTAAATTGTACTTCACACCTCTTGAAATAGTTGAGTTATAGCTACTCCGAATCGCACATACCAACCTACCAAAAATGATTTATACTTTCGAACAAGTGAGTAAACGTAAAAATCAGTGACACGTTTCGTAAAAAGGTACACTCGCATGACATGAAAAAACGGGTCGCTTTCTGTTTACTCGATTAACGCGTTCGAGAAGTATTTTAATTTATCTAAGAATCTTACACTTGAGGTTCTGATCACACATATCTAACTCGAATCGATCTAACTATACTACTTTCTTTTGCTCCTCAATGCTTTACTTTTCTCTGCATCGTCAATCTTTATCTTTTTTGAATTGTACTTTTATTTACTTATCGTATTGCTCGGACAAAAGTAGTAAACCGTTTGGCTTTAACTTAAAAGGTTATTTTTAGTGGATTTATGTTCAGTTGGAGTTTTATGGAAGGGAGTGTAATAATATTACAACCCAACTCACAATGATATTACAATGCATGTCTGGTTCAATAAACGAAACCCTGCCCGAAAGGTCACGGGTCGCACATTAGTGGGCATTTATCCCAAACCTGAATTTACATAAGTAAAGGAAGTGGAGAGAAAAAACGGACGTGTCTTAACGTCACTGCTACTTAGAGTTCAAAGAATATGAGCAGATGTGCAATTTTCGTAGACATTTTTATAAATACCTACACAATATACTGATTACATACCCTTTCTGATATATTAGTTTTATATTGAATTTTGATCAAACCTTTTTGAAGGTAGAATATCGCAATTTTGTAGACACAGCAGAATATAAGGTTTTTAAAACAATGCAAGGGCACAGGCCCTCCTTATGGATAACTATCCACAAAGAAGGCCTGCGCCACGCTCACATTGGGCCACCACATTGGCCCAATGCGGTTTGGGGAGAATTAACGACTGTAAGTGCAGCAAGGACTAAGGGCTTAACGTCCCTTCCAAAGGACGGAGTAACTCGAGATAATAATATTTTGGTCACCCATCTCGTGACCGAGCATTGCGAAAGTTGCTACAATGATCGCAGATAACAATAATAATGATCGCGGGCTACCGAGCTACTCAAAACGATATTATTATTAGTAAATTACTATACAGTCAACAGCACGTCAGGCTATACAATTCCGTATTTCTCCATTTAATTTTAATCCTTAATGTTTTGAGAGTCGAGTTGAAAATCAACTGTAGCAATTGACATATTATGTCAATTGCTACAGTTAGTATTATGTCAATTGTAATATACTGCAGCCGTGTGTACAATGCGATAAAATTACATATATAATATATAGGTTTCCTTATTATTTGACTTTGCATGAAGCTTTTCTGTAGAGAGTCACGTTGGCCCGCATTGCTAGTTTTATTTTTTGTTTTTTTTAATAACACTAGGTAGCCTGAGAATCCTGAAATGACACCTGAATATCCATACTAAATTACCAATCTGTCTTACATTCCTTTAAATATTCTTATCGTTTTCTTTTGCTTCACAAGTCTCTTTAATTGCTTCTTTTTTCTTTGACAGTAAACATAACAAAATCTAGTTTCCCATTTCCTATAAAATTGGTACGATTTCGTTTGCCAGTAACCTAGCCTTTGTGCTTAACCAAAAATTTCACTTTTGGATAAATAGATGTGATATTGTTAATACATATCATGATTATATGCTTCTTTTAAAAACACAAGCGCCGTAGAGTCGCGTTATATCAATTATATTAAGATATCTATTTTTCATCAAATCAATGTTCTAGAGTTAGATTATATATAAAAGCGTATTAAGTGTATTTAACACAGACACTGACATTAATGCGGGTCCAATCAGGACAAGGCATTAAAGACGAAATGTTAAGACTTAGTTAAGCTTCAATGTTTTACGAAAAAGGAAATATATTACCGAAAATAAGATCTTTAATCGACATAGTAACTTGATCGCTATTTTATAATGATTGTGATTAGAAGTAATGTGTCATTAAATAACTCAGTGTCTATATTTAATTTGTGTTTGTTCTTTAACTTAAATATTTATGACAATCATCATCACCAGCCCTTTTACGTCCCCACTGCAGGGGCTCAGGCCTTCCTTATGGATGGTTAAGGAGGATGGGCCATGACCCTCCACGCTGGCCCAATGCGGATTGGAGGGTATTAACGACTGCAAATGCAGCCGGGACCAACGGATTAACGTGCCTTCCGAAGCACGGAGTAACTCGAGATAATAATTTTTGGTCACCCATCCCGTCCGTGACCGACCCTTGCGAAAGTTGCTTAACGATTACGATCGCGGGCCGCGGCGCTTATCCACTACGCCACCGAGCTACTCCTACATAGGAACATCTATTGTTTATGACAATAGATGTTCCTATATAAAAGTACTCACTATAGTTTCGATTTGCTAATTTTGATTTATATCAAGAAGAAATTAAAACAATGTCTACTTCTACAGCAACCCGTGTTTTTCAATGAAATTTCGTATTCTTAAATGAAAAATGCAAAAAAAAACTTGGTTCCTGGCACCCTGAGATGGGATTCGAACCCATAACCTTTCGCAATCCCGGCGAAACTAACCACTGACTATAGAGCTACTCAGGACCTAACAGGACGGACGAATCTTTTAAGGACTTGCTACATTTAAGAATTTCATTTAAGAATAATTTTCAGTATAGCATTGTGACTAGGAAATTGATTAAATAACTTGTGTTTTTTTCAGGCTGTTACAACTAAGACTTCGTAGGAATGATAAACCCTTTACAAGAGGTTTTCTATTCAACTTTGGAAACAACTTTGGAATAATAACAGTCATTTATAATCTAGTGAGATTCAATTAATATAGGGCATCGAAAATCTCTAATTGCACAGAAAAGATCTACTAATTCCGATAAAACTGAAAAAATCTGAAAAACGACGCTGCAGTTAACAGCAGCACATGTCGAGTTGGCACCTTTTGGACACCACACCGGATGCACTCTATATTTTAATATTATTTTATTAATGTCTATTTCAAAAGTTCATGTGTGTGTGTGTGTGTGTGTTCAATAAATGATTTCTATTCTAATCCCGACGATGACCTACCGTATCATTCAGATTAACAATGAAGTCTTATTTCAATAACCATAACGTGTGATACAATGCTTTAGATGCCAGTTTTAATCACTTGTTGGGAGTCAGTCATACAAATCGCCCAATTGCGTACTGCTTGACTCCTTCTGATTGGTCGCCTCACTTCATAATTTGACTTTTGTTTTCATTATAATATAAAAAAAAATATTTCCATAAATACAAAATCACTGTTATGACATTCGTTGTAACATTTGCATATATGCTAAATTAAATTGTAGATTTTATTATTGTTCTTTGAATTTTCTAACTTGTTTCTCCCCATAAGACCGAATTTCTGGATTAAAAAAGATTACAGTCCGGCCGTTCTTGAGGTTTGCGGTTAGCGACACATGTAGTGATTTAATTTTCCGTAAATATGTAGACGATATTAATGTATCAAGGCTTTGTATTTGATAAACTTTGTGTACGGTACCCTAATACAACGGCAAATCTATTGTCCAACGTAGTAGACCTTGGTGGTGTGTCAGGTTTGCGATGCGGCTGTTAAATTTCGCCCATCCATTGGCCCATCCTCTTTAACCATCCATAAGGAAGGTCTGAGCCCCTGCATTAGGGAAGTAAAAAGGATAATGATGACTGCCCGACAACCTTCATGGTAGAATGAGTTACCGCGTGAGTGAACGAATGTCGCGAATCTATAATATCTTCACTTTATATTGACGGAACTGGGTGGTGGTACATTTGATTTTCAAGTTTCCATAATTATTAAATAGTTAAAAATGCGGCATAATTAAAGACTTTTTATGAGAAACAACTAATGTATTTAATTTTAACCTTTGCTTTTAGAACAGTTAAGAAATTTATACCTAGTAATGAAAGACAAATAGGAAATAGATTCAATATTGAGACTCAACATCTCGCGAACCGAAAATATATTTACCTCTTGCTAGGGTGATGGCATAATAATGTTTCGAACGATGCCCACTTATTGAAAAAGCGTGCTACAAATAGAACAGGACGTGTGCTGACAAAAAAAGACAAAAGAGTAATACGATACAACCCTCACGTTCGCTTAAAAAAAAATCCTAACGCTTCCCACACATGCGGTCATTTTTCAGCCACACTAAACGGCAGTGAAAATCAGACCCGGCCGAGCGACGATTTGTCTTATTCTTATTATTTCCCAGTGGATGGCAAGGACCCTTGGAATATTCTTTTTTGAAATAACCCCGTTGAAATGTATATTGTTTCCTTTGATCGAGGCACGAAGTTTTGAACGGGAAGATTCATCGATTTCTGTTTCTTGGCTTCCATTTTTTTTGGAAACGTTTGTATAAAAATCATTTTACATATAGTAAACTGAACTGTAAACTGAATTTTACCGCATTAAAGTACTTATTAATGTTCAATCACCTACTTACCCTAATGTTTGTTTCACAAATTCCAAGTAAACTATGAGAAATAATTTAAACATAGTATAAAACAAAATCTTTTAAACTACTCAATAGTTTGGTTTTGAGTAATAAATATATTTGAATATTTATCTACCATTTTCGTTTTCCTTATTATATTTTAAGAATTATTATGATCTAACGAAAATGTATTTTTTTTATATTACACGGAAGAAGCCAAATGGAAAATTAAGAACATGAAAACATTGTTGAACAGAACTGGATTTAATATCCATGTTTCAAAAGACTATGACATC